ACCTGGGAAAAGAACCTCGCCTTGCCTAATGATCCCGCGCGTACTGCCAGGCTGGGGTCCTAGAGCTGAAGGTGGAGAGAGAATCAAGGCAAAACCCCATCCAGATCTGCAGGAAAACGGGGTCCTTGAGCTCCCGGGAAGGAGGTGACAGTGGTTGCCCAGGATCTGAGATGAGGCTTCCAGGATCTGAGATGAGGCTGCCCTGGGTGTGCAGCTGGGTGGTGTCGGCATCGGCGGTCCCTGCTAGCTCATCTCCTCGGCCGCTGGGGATGGGGATCCTGCGGTCCCACAGCAGCGGGGCACTCTCTGCTGCTCACGTGGTGCTGCCTTGGCATGGGAACAATGCTGGAGCGGCTCAACAGATTGGCCACCCTGGGCTGACAGTAAATGTTTGTGTACATTGCAGGAAACAACTTTGCTCTTGAAGAAGAAGAGAGATTTTTACTCTGCAAAGAACTCTGACAACAAATTTCTCCATGGAGAGCCAAGCTCAGAGACATCATACTTAGCCGAGAGTACGGCAGATCCAAGCTCTCGCCAGCAGTACGATACTCCACCCCTGCAGTCGGATTTCCAGGACCCAGGCTGGGGTAGAAGATGGAATTATACCAGCAATTACTGAATTACAAGTGTTGGGGAACTGGGATTTCAGTAGAGAGGAGAAAGGTACAGATAAGCAACAGCCTTCAATCTTTTTATTTATTTTTTTCTATGTTTTAATCTGGCATATTTCACCAGGGTACGTGCAGGCAGTTTCATTACTTTCAGATGTATTTAGAGTGATATGAAGTTTCAAATAAAACATTTTATTGTTACTCTTCAACACTTCGCTGGCATGGTCTGCACCGACATAACATGGTGTCCATCCATTATTTCTGCCCCAGTCCCTCTCTAAACAACCACAACTAAATCCCAGTACCAAATGCAGTATTTTTTTCATGTTTTTATAGTCCTTCACTGAAATAGTGATGAGTGGAGGAATGTATTCATTTTGTTCTGAAGAGCCAGGAAAATTGTAGACTTAGATACAGTTAGCGCTCGGGGAAAAAAGTCAACTGAGTTCTATTTTCTGTAGATCAGCCATAGGGTTTGACGCAGGAAGGTCAGTACAGAGGTGTGAGCTGGGATTCCACTGAAAGCAGCAGCGTTTAACTGCCTCAGCAACACACATCAGAAGGCTTCATGCCCTCGTCTGGAGGATTACCCCGTGGCACAGATTGCCTAGTGTGAAGAGCTGCAGGTGGAATTCATTTGAGATGGGTGGCCAGCACTGTGTATATGCACCGTTGGGACTCTATTTTAGGGCAAAACTTGGATTTAAATGATAGATCGTCTGTGTAGAGATCCTGTGCTCCGGGCTAAATCCCTTAACATGTGAACAGCTCTAACTTTTGCTGATTCTGCTGCTCCTGGCTGCTACATTTTAGCAATAATACAAGGGCTAATAGGAATATTAATATTAAACTATCTGTAATGTATTCCAGTGAGTTCTTATAATATTTTTTCTCTTTTTAAAATTTAAATTCTTATTGATTCCAAGCAGTTTCTAGAGAGAAGCCACAGTATTGCATGTGTAAACTGCAACAGTAAAGGATTTTAGTGAACATGATTGTGTAGAGTTGCTTACTGTGGAGGAAGCGGAGTCCTGGAACCCTCATACCTTTTGGATTGAAAGACAGGAAAAACTGAAAGCTCAAATGGTGCTGAGTAATTCTCAAACCACATATGCTTCCCTACATTGTTTTGGACAGTGGCTTCACGCCAAGCTCCTCTCAGCCCTGCTCAAAACAGAGGAATACAAACCCCATGAAAAGCACAGCCCTCATTTCCAGATTCTGGTGGCTCTCCTACGGTAGCCTTGACTTAAGATGAAATGGCATTCCGAGCTGCTGGCACCATCAGAAGTCTCCACTGCAAACTTCAGAGTTTTTTTTTTTTTTTTTTTTTTTGCTTGTTCTGCAAAGTGCTGAATCCGTCCTTCCCCCCCCCTCCATGACTCTGCAGGGTTGAGCACCAGGGGACAACTCAGACGCCAGCATGTTAGCATTCAAATTAGGGATATTCATCTTGCAAAACAAATCTCTTGCTGAGAGGAAGTCCAAGACAATCCTGATCTTTTTCCCTTCTAGCTGTGCGGTGCCATAACTCTGCTCCTGCATGAGCACACAAGCCTTCAGTGTGCAAATGCCGGGACACGGGCTGCCAAGTGACAAAGCACGTACTTTATGGCCAAGGACTCCACCTATACCTCGAAAAAGCCACAGAAGTCAGAGTTGAAAGGCCTGGCTGTAATCATGGGTTTGGAGGTTTGGGTTTTCTCACCTGACCTAGTTGCAACAACTCCATCGTTGTGTGCATGCAGCAACTTTTTCATGTCCTCCCCAGCGATGCCGTGATGTTTTCCTAGCAGGGCACGCTGCAGAAACCCAGGCAGCTCTCCCCCTGCGTTGAATTAGAGGTTACACATCCCTAAACACGCACCCCAAACGTGCTGCAGAGTGTCTACAGCCACCCCTGACCCCCTTGGCATTTTATTAACACACGGCTCGGGTGCAGGAACGGCTGCAGAAGACAGAAAGCAGCTGAGGAAGCTCAGGAGTCACACAGAGTGTGGCAGGAGCAGTTCTTGGGGCCACGCGCCCGCCGCAGTGTGTGACACTGCGCAGGAAGCTGGGAGGCAGGACCAGATAAACCAGTTACCTACTGGTTTAGTTCGGGGCCATTTATTCTGCTTTAAAAATGAGCGCCAGGCTGATGAGTGCAGCTTGGCTTCGGTCTGGCTCAGCAACCCTTTGAGGGTGCTACCCCAGACTGTGGGTTTTTTTATCCCAAATTAGAAGAGTCATGGAAGAAATCCGGCAGGAGTGGAGATGCTCGGTAATATCTTGCTTCTATAGGAGAGCTCTGCACGAGGCTCCTCGTTCAGACCAGGGAACACGATGCCCGTCTGCACGCTTGCTCCACTGTGTGGCTTTCCAAATCGTCTTTGATGTCCTCGCGTGAAGGAAACCAGCCCAGGCCAGCGAAACAGAGCGGCGCACCTGGTTAGAGCCAACTGCACCAGTCATTTATTACAGAAATGAAACCACAGCCAGGCTGCCTGTAAGTGGGGGTTGTAACAGCTCCTGGGGGCTGTGATTTCTTTGAGGAAGGAGGTTGCTGTGCGATGCTAGCAGGGGCATCTCCGTCCTGCTTGGGGTCTTTCAGCTCAGCATTAGCTTGAAGGCAGTAGTTGAGCAAAGGCTGAAATTTGCTCCGCTCTGGTGCATTCTCACGACCGTCTCGTGCTGGTTTCTCCCTCCGAACTCTCTGCAGGAGGACAGACAGACGTACCAAACATCTCGGGATTGCAGGGAGTAATACAGCAACAACTGCAAATTATGAACGGGATTTTTCTGTCTTCCAGAAGTGCACAGACACACACCCCCACACCTGCCTTTGCGTGGAGCTGTGCCCGATGTGCTGCCCCAGGGCTCTGCTCTCGGGCACGCTGGCGAGCGCCGTGTCCCAGAAATCCGCACCAGAGCGGACGTGGCTCCTGC